GTGATCTTGACTCACTGAGGTGAAAATGTCAGGTTAGGGAAATTTATGACCAATATATTTCCAAAGTACAAAAGTTATAAAAGTATAGTGAAAAGTAAATTTTCCTACCACTTTGGCCACCCAGGTCCTTTTCCCAGAATGAACCACAGTGACCAATTTCTTGTGTACTATTCTGGAGAAATTCTATGTCTAACAAGCATGGGGGTGTGCATGCAGGTATATACATATCAGCTATAGACACATATATGTATATCCCTGCATGCACACACACATTTATAGCTACATATCTTTAATATAATTAGTAGCACATCATATCCAAGTTCTATACCTTGGTATTTTTAAAGAAACAAAATATCTTGAAGATAACTTTATATCAGTTCAAGAACCAACTCATTCTTAATGGCTGGGCAATATTCCATTATTTATAGTGTAATTTATTTATTTAAAAGTCTCTGCTAATCCTTTGGTTTTATAGCAAATTTTTTGCTACATAACCTTACATCTGTGTCACTTCATACCCATATGGGTCTACCCTTAGGATAAATTTTTAGAAGAGATTTTAGAGCAATTTGAGGGTCAAGAAGCATGTGAAGTTTCAAACTTAATAAGATTGCCACCAGGATTTTACGTCTACCATACACTGGCATACACTGCTGGGTCTACATCTGAGTTTCTGTTCTGATCCATTCAGGCACTTATTCCAGCCATCAATTTTACCTACTGTAAATATAATTTTACCTACTTTAGCTTTATCATGTTTTAGTGTTAGGAAAGCCATTCTTCTGTTATCACTCATCTTTCTCATAATTTTTGTCTATTCTTGTTTTTTTTAATTTTTATATATTTACTTTAAAATAATAGCTAACATGTATTTAGTGCTTCCTGTGTGCCAAGCAGACTCAGCATTTAATTTAATTTCATTAACTAACTTATTTATTTATTTTTTGAGACAGAGCATCAAGCTGTCATCCTGGGTGGAATGCTGTGGCATCATAGCTCACAGCAACCTCTAACTCTTGGGCTCAAGCGATTCTCCTGCCTCCACCTCCCAAGTAGCTGGGACTACAGTCACCCCCCACAATGCCTGGCTATTTTTTGGTTGTAGCCATCATTGTTTGGCAGGCCTGGGCTGGATTCGAACACACCAGCTCAGGCGTATGTGGCTGGCATCTTAGCTGCTTGAGCTACAGGCGCCGAGCCTACATATTTATTTTTTGAGACAGAGTCCCACTATATCGCCCCCAGTAGAGTACCATGGCATCACAGCTCATAGCAACCTCAAACTCTTGGGCTTAAACAATTCTCTTGCCTCAGCCTCCCAAGTAACTGGGACTACAGGTGCCCACCACAATGCCCCGCTATTTTTGTTGCAGTTGTCATTGTTGTTTAGCAGGCCTGGGCTGGGTTGAAACCTGCCAACTTTGGTGTATGTGGCCAGCACTGTAACCACTGCGCTATGGGTGCTGAGCCAGACTCAGCATTTTAAGAGTAGCAGCTCCTCCAACTATAACAATAATTCTATGAGGTAGACGCCACTATTATTCTTATTTATCAGCTGGGGAAACGAAAGCACAGAGAAGTTATAGACTAGAACTTGCCAAGGTCACACAGCCAGGGACTGACACAGCCAGGGACTGGCGCAGCCAGGACGCAATGCAAGGGTCTGCTTTCTCAACCACTTCGCAAAACTCATTTACAAAGTAAGATTTATTTTGTTGTTTTCTAACTTTTGAATTGGGTGCTTATTTCACTGGACTTTTGTAATTTGTCATCTATTCATGCAAATATTTGAAGCTTTGGGTTTTCCTGAGTACTGTTTTAGCCGTGTCCTGTAAGTTTTGAGTAGTACAGCTTACCGCAGTGCCTCCCTTGCAGTTAGAAATCTATATTGTCATACTAAATTTAGGGATTAACAAAGGAAGAATTAACATTTTTATGATGTTGAAGTTTCCCATACAAGAATAGGGCATCCCTTTCTATTTAAGATTTTTTTTTTGTATAAAACATACACATTTTTTATTGTGATTACTTGCATGTATCTTTTCAAACTGTTATTTTAGTGCATTTTTTCCCCCTTCCACGATGACTTCTAAACAGCTGCTGCTGGAATATAGGAAACACAGAGATACCTGTGTATGACATTGGAACTTGACTTTTTAGCTGAACTCTCTTTTTACTTCTAAGAGTTTTCAGTTCATTTTCTTGAGTTTCACATGTTAAAAAATAAACTATTAATTTTTACCTATTCATATCTTACTACTACTACTTTTTTTGCATTTATTGTTAAATAATAGAGGTAAAAGACATCCTGGTCTCACTCTTGACTTTTCATGAGACTAAAAATTAGAGATATTGACTGTTTACTTTGAGGGCTTACAGAACTACAAAAGCTAAAAGTTTAAGAAACCCAAACTATTTAGGTAATTCTAAGTTGATATTCTTTCTGATTCGTTCCATGGAGATGGCTTATTACTAAAATCTTCCCTGACGTCAGACTGGGTAACATAGCAACTCCAGCTTCAGAAAGTCTTCTCTGATATCCAGCTTAAATGCTTCCTCATCTAATAATTTAAACATGTTTAATTTGTAATAAAAGTAACACATTTTCCTCGAAGAAAATTTGGAACCTAGAGAGAAATATAAAAAAATAAAGTGTTTTTTAAGTGCATTGATACTAGCCTGGGGCTTCGGGGGAGCAACCCACTGGCCCGTATTCTGTCTCCACTGCAGCCAGCAGGAGCCTACCTGGGTCCCCCGAGCTGTCGCTGTTCCTCTCACTCTCCCCATCTTCCTGGCCATCTGCATTCTGCTGTGTGTGCTGTAGGCTCAGCTTGTGGCAGACCTCAAAGGCCTGCCCCACCGTCCGGACAATCCGCATGGCTTGGCTCTAGGAAGGAGAGAGGAGAAGGTGAAGGGCATGGAGACTCTGCACGGACACGAGATGGGTCTGGATGGATGAGGCTGTGCAGGGGACACGGGGACAGAAATCTACAAAGCCGGCGAAGGAAAGAGATGGGATCCTGAAATATTCCAGAAAATAGCAACTGTCACGCAGTCTGAAAACAGTTAACTGAGAGGACACAGAGCAAATATCCCATTTCCGGACTCAGCCCCAGTTCCTTCCTCCCAAGTGTAACGAAGCAGTCAATAGGCTTCAGAATCTTTGGCCAACCATTATCAAATGGTCCATGGGGTCCATCAAACTAAAAGGAATTCAGCCGTGTTTTTTATTTTTTTTGCCGATGCAAATGTTAGGTTTCCCTGGAGCTCCTTGCAGATCAAGAGCTGTGGTGATACGGGGCTTAGAAGCCGCAGCCTCCACAGCAAAACCAACTGGGGCTCAGCATCTGAGTCCCTTGGAACAGGCAGCTAAATCTAAGGTGAGCCTTACCAGGTCTTATTTCAAAGACATTGTTCCCTTGAGTCTCTTCTATAGCTGCTTCCTCTCTTTAGTCCTGCTATTTAACCTCTTCCTTTAAGAGCCCAAGAAGAGAGCTTGATCCTAGCTCCCAAAACGCCACTACTTAACTGGGAGAGGAGAGAGAAAGGCCAGAGAAGTCTGCTCCTGAACAGAGCCTTAAGCAACCCACACAGGCTGGGAGGAAGAACCACAGGCAGGGTTTTCCGGATGCAGTCTCCAAGGTGGATAACCAACTCTAACCTGACTATCAGTCAGCATTTGCTTTCTTCAAGGACAGAAATGAGTGAAATGTGAAACAGAGTTTCAGACCTCAGAGGCCTCAAGTACCCCATCGCCACAGGCTGCGGTTTATATAATCTAATTGTAACTGTCACCCTGTACTCAAGTCTCACATTAATCACGTTTTAGATGATCTGATTTCAGGTCAGCCATGACCATCTGGTGACAGTCCATCGATTTACATTCAAAACCCCCAAAGTAACACCAGCGTGGGTCGAGCAGAGCTTCTTATCTGTATAAGACTGCGGGCGTCACATCACTAAACTCGTGTTTAATGATTTGGTAAGGTCAAAAGGCCTTGTTGAGGATAATAAAACGAGCTTCATTTATGCTTTTCAGCATATTAAAATTAGTTCATATTTCTTCTTGTTGTCTTCATGAACCCCTAGGGACTTTGGAACCCCATGAATGGAACTCCTTGCTCTGGTCTGTTCTCTGCTGGGTATAACTTCCAAAATGGCTGCCCTTGCCATCTCCTTAAGCCTTGGGCCATTTCTACTTTCCTTCCTTTTTACTTCAGGCAAGAGCACCCATGTTAATGTGAAGAGGCATTTTGTCCAATCCTCGTCCATGTGTCTATTGTGGATCCAAATCTACTTCCTCAGCTCAAGCCACACCCTAGAAGTGACTGTCTTAGAGCTCAAACCTCTCTTAGCCCATTAGACTAACTCCACTGACACTCTCCACTGGTCTCCCACCCAGAACACCCTGACATCTCTAGGTGATGAGAACCTTAAGTGGGGCTGGGCTTGGCAGCTCATGCCTGCAATCCTAACACTCTGGGAGGCCAGGAGGGTGGATTGCTTGAGCTCAGGAGTTTGAGATCAGCCTGAGCAAGAGTGAGACCCCTTCTCTGCTAAAAATAGAAAAACTACCCAGGTGTTCTGGTAGGTGCTTATAGTCCCAGCTTCTTAGGAGGCTGAGTTAAGAGTATTGCTTAGGGGTGGTGCTATGGCTCAAAGGAGTAGGGCGCTGGCCCCATATGCCAGAGGTGGCAGGTTCAAACCCAGCCCTGGCCAAAAACTGCAAAAAAAAAAAAAAAAGTATTGCTTGAGCCCAAGAGTTTGAGGTTGCTGTGAGCTATGGTACCATGGCACTCGATCCAGAGCGACAGAGTGAGACTCTGTCTTAAAAAAAATAAGAACCTTAAGTGAAGCAGGAGAAGCTGAGTAACTTCTGTGAGGTTCCCCATCCTCACCCATTGGTGGATCAAACCTGTGTCCTCTCTGACCTTAATTTCCTTCTGTGTCCCCGGGGTAGGTTCAGGCCCCTTCTCATACTGTGCTGTTTGTCCAGGAAGCTGAGAAGCAGCAAGCCTCCTTCTAAAGCACAAAGCACCTAGCGTTTGCACTCCCCAAAACATACAAAGAAGTGTGATTTAGAGGGCACAGTCCCTAATAAACCTGGGCCAAGAACACCCCAGCTTCTTTACCTCCTTCAGCCATGAAGCTATACTCTGGTGAGGAGACTGAGCCAGGAAGCTCAACTCTCGGGTAAAAAGGGAGAAGAAAAGAAGACACTCTACCCCAAAGCGTGATTCCTGCGGGCCTCCTCAGTGCTGCTTTTATCCTTTACTCCTTTGATGAGAATAAAAGTGGACTGCCTGTGGTTGATCTTGTATAGCAAAGCACATCACTAGCTCACCAAACTTTAGACATGGCTTTATTCTATCCACCGAGGACACCCCGTGTCCATTAAAGAGACTGTCTCCCCCTGCTGCCTTCTCGGACCTTAGGAATTTTGCTCTCCTAGACATCTCTACAAGAGGTGGAAAAGGTAGATATTCTAGGTTCTAGAAATAAAACGTGGCAAGTCTAAATGATATGTAGAGATGAAGTGTTTAATTCTATTACTTTCTTACCTTCCATGAATTAACCCAGACACCGCATACTGAACAAATGTCTGAAAAGACTGAGTTAGTCTCTTCTGATCTGTATCGTTCCCAGAGCACAGATCCAGCTTCTCTCTTTTAAATACACAGATATATAGAAAATTCCAATTTCGTTACTGTGTGCTTTGCTATAAAATCTCAGGTTTTTTCCTAAGGAGGACATATTATAAATTATATCATCTCTACAGATCATAGATACTGCCCTCAACTGGCTCTTAAGATGATATTAAAAATCTCAAGGTCTTCAAATGTTCCTGATCTATGGCATCAGCAAGGGATAGGAATTAAATTTCTAAACTTTGGAAGGAAGCCCTCAGACTTATTATTTTTTTTTACTTTTTTTGATCCTTGACCACCCTCTCCCACCCCATACTCAGACTTCAGTAACAAAATGGAGGTAGTAAAAAGTGACTTCAAAGAAGCCCTGCATTTCCCATGCATCACGAGATTGTGAGTGGATGACAGGATGCACTCAGAACCGAGCACTTTAAGAGCCTAGACTCTGGCTCGAATCTCTATTCTGCCACCTTTATCAAGGACAAACATGTGGGACATGCCCACAGGTTCAACTATTTATAGACCTAAAACAGATGGAAGTGGGTTGGTCTTAATGCATAGTATTTATACTGTTTCAGTCTTACATTTTACTTCATTTACTAAGATCAGCAATCAACTCTGAACCTCTGATTCCCCTGAAAAAGTAGAAAAGGAATTCCACTGTTCAACCTCTCCTTTCCTTACTCTCCTCCCTTGATCACAGATATTCTCTATGATATTCCTGAAACGTCATTGAAAAAGTGAATCAGGGCTCGGCGCCCATAGCACAGTGGTTACAGCACCAGCCACATACACGGAGGGTGGAAGGTTCAAACCTGGCCCGGGCCAACTAAAAACAACTGCAACAAAAAAATAGCTGGGAGTTGTGGTGGGCGCCTGGAGTCCCAGCTACTTGGGAAGCTGAGGCAAGAGAGTCATGTAAGCCCAAGAATTTGAGGTTGCTGTGAGCTGTGCCAGCACAACACTCTACCGAGGGCGACATAGTAAGACTCTGTCTCAAAAAAAAGAAAAAAGTGAATCAAGGATGTCTCTATAGCACCTCCTCTGTCACACGGCAGGATAAACACATGGATAACATACACGATAACACTTCCCATGGTTTTCAGCATATAGTAAGTGCTCAAGAAATGTTTTCTTTTCAATATGGAATTCATTGAACTGAAGGCAGAACACAAAAAGTAGTGCAGTGAACATAAAGTGACTAGAGGGGACACCTCTCACATTCGTATGCCAACATCACGAGAGCTATTCTACCACCTCCCTCCCCAAGCACCAGAAGGAAACTCCTGGGCCAAACTGTATGATGGTTTCTATATATAGCAAAATGGTTGAATAAGAGTTCTAGGTTTTTTTTTTTTTTTAACATTCAGTGTTAAATGGTTTCATTCTGATTTATGTTTTACTTTACTCCTCTTTAATATGAAGGCTGTATTTCCATTCACAGTAAAAGGACACAGTGGCACATTTTATGAAGAGCCCTCTGCACTAGAATGCATAATCAAGTTGCCCCATCTGTTTCACAGAATGATACACATAAAAGAACTGCCTTTCCATTTACCACTATAGGAGTCAGAAGGGGCTGGACCGCTCCTAACTCTCCTCATAAACGGCTATGTGAGTTGAGATGCTCCTCAACCCTTTAATCCAGTGGTTCTCAACCTTCCTAATGCCTCCCCTAATGCTGCGACCCTTTCATACAGTTCCTCATGTTGTGGTGACCCCCAACCATAAATTATCTTCATTGCTACTTCATAACTGTAATTTTGCTACTGTTATGAATCATAATGTAAATATCTGATAGGCAGGATGTATTTTCATTGTTACAAAGGGGTCACAACCCACAGGTTGAGAACTGCTGCTTTAATCTAACCCTTCTTGACCAGTGAAGTCTACCTTTAGAAGTTTCTATTTCAGAACCTTATTAAGGGGGGCAACTGCTTGAAGGTGGCTATCAGGGGCAAGCGGTGCCTGGCTGGGGCTGTCCCTCCCTCCATCTGCTCTCTGCACAGCCGTGTCAGCTCTTGCCTTCTAGACCTACCCTTGGTCATCCCACTTTCTGGCCTTCTAGGCAAGAAAACTAGTTTTGCCTGCCACCCCATGATGCAAGAATCAAACATGCTAGGACTTAATAGTTAATAAACCACATGGGAACTCAAGAGAGAGCACTCTGGTAAAAACAAGCGTTAAAAAGAATCCTTCCCAGAAATTTTATGAATACTTGTCTTTGAGTCTCCTAGGT